CAGTTCCAACACCTGCCATCGCTGAGGGTGCAGACTTCTGCCCCTATTTCTTCCCAGGCTGACCTCTCTGTCCTGACTAGCTCTAGTGCTCCCCAAGACCCATGTCACCTGACCCACCACCACCCTACCACACAGGGCCACTTCAGAATCCCTACGCTTTGGTGAACAGAGGAGGGGAGGGGGAGATTTGCGAGATGTCGTTGCATGTGGCTCCCACGCTCACGTGCATCTGTCATGTACACTCTCTGGCCCTCCCACCAGCCCCAGCACGGCCTGAACTAGAGAACAAAGCGGTTGAAAGGAGTAAGGCAGAAAGGATGTGAAAATAGAAATCATAGAGCAGACCCAGGTCCCTTAGGCCCTACCCCTACTCCAGTAAAATGAAGACCCTCTCATTTGGGGAGGAAGAAGGAGGGGATCAGGAAAGGAAGCAAGCAGGTAACGTTCAGCCTGGGAACCCCACAAGCTCTCTAGCCCGCGGCAGGTCGTTTGGAGGTAGAGGGAGATAAAGCCTCCCTCGAAGTTTCAGAATCCAGGGCCAGGTAGGGCCGGGGCCTCAAACCCTGGAGGAGGCCCAGGGATACAGCAAGCCCCACAAAGCGGTTCTCGCTGGGGTTACCAGCTTGTGGCAACCCTGCAGGGGAAACGGCAGTCCGACAGTGCGTGCAGGCAGAGGAGGGCATCTGAAGCGCCGTGGTCACCCTCTTCCGGGGACCTTACACACCTGCGATACAAAGCCATCTCAGCCTAATATCTATCCTGGGGAACGGAAGAGTGCCCAGGATACTCCCTGCCTGTGCCTGAGTTTGTTCTGAGTGTGACAAAGTTTTAAATCAGTAATGTCCCCTCCAGATTACTGAATGTAGCTTAATTGACTTATAAGAAGCCAGAGTATTTTCTTTTCTCTATATTTAGAGCTAAATTCAGTTGTCAAAATAGTTACAATTTTAATGTCTGATTTTTGAAAATTCATCGCATCACATGCATAATTTCTCCTGTATCTTCAAACATTTCCTTGTATGCCTGTTCTAGCTCCATACATTAAATTCCTTGGAATTTGCCTTTTACCCACTGACACCACATCCCTTATAATCTTCTCTAGCGGAAGGTGGATTTCCCCTGTTCTCCCTCGTGAGAAGAGGAAAATGGAAAGAAACGGTGGGCGGGGCCGAAGTTTCACCACAAACCGTGCAAAACTTGGGTAACACTGACAAAACCGAAAAATAAATATAAAGAGGAAAAGCATTCATTGAAACCTTCCTTTGAAAGCTGTATAGTAGCCATTCTATGGAGATATATTGTTAAGTAATTGCCTACTGTTGAATAAGTTGTTTCCATTTTTCCCTAACAACGTCCGTCAGGCGTGTTGAACAGCTTCACCCAGGGATCTCGGTGCATCTCTGACCACCTCCACTTGCTCTGCCACTGGAACCCATGGCGCCTTCTAATCGGACCCACCAAAAATGCCCTTGAGCACAAAAACTTTCATAATCAATAGTAAATTTAATTAGTTTAATTATATACTTATTTTAATTAATTAAATTATATACATTAATTCATCAGTTTCATTTTATGTACGCATCTTACTTTTCGCTAGCCCACCCAGCCTCAGACCCCACAAGAAGGGGGAAGGAAAGCCAGCCAAGAGTGTGACGGCGGGCAGTCTCAAGGCTACTCCTGCAGGTCGTGGGTAGAGTTCTACCACTGAGAGCTGCAGCCATCCTGAGAGCCCACAGAGACGTGCCAGATGGAAAGACAAAGAGCCGTAACAACTGTCCAGCAGGAACTTAATACCCAGAGCCGGCTTGTGCTCACATTCCCCTGCTACCATTCCCACAGGTGTAAACCCTGGTCTGGAAGTTCTGAATGTTTGAAAGCTCCGGATACATGATGTCAAACCACTATGCAGAGCCCTTTGTACCAAGTATCACCAACAACGATACAAAGAAAACATGAACCTTTAAGCTCTTGACAGCCAGTTTATTCATCTTTGACGTTCCTTTTCTAAACAGGTTTTGGACAGCTTGTGAGATGTCACCCTGAGCTATGAATTGTAAATTATGAAACAGCAAGTATCTTATCTCTTGAGTTCCTGTCCTTGCTATTGGAGTTTCCCTGGTCCCATGCGGTCTAATTAACAACCACTAGCCCCGTAGGGCTATGGAGCACCTGAAATGTGGCTAGTGCAAACTGGGATGTGCTACAGGTGGAAAGTACAGCCCAGATTTCAAAGAATTAAGTGCAACAAAAGAATGCAAGATAGCTCATTAATTTTTTATATGGATTACAAGCTGAAGTGATAACATTTTGGGTATATTGGGTTAAATAAAAATACATAATTAAAATGAATTTTTTAAAAATTTATTTATTTATTTATTTAATTTTGGCTGTGTTGGGTCTTCATTTCTGTGCGAGGGCTTTTTCTCTAGTTGTGGCAAGCAGGGGCCACTCTTCATCGCGGCGCGCAGGTCTCTCTTGTTGTGGAGCACAGGCTCCAGACGCGCAGGCTCAGTAGTTGTGGCTCACGGGCCCAGTTGCTCCGCGACATGTGGAATCTTCCCAGACCAGGGCTCGAACCCGTGTCCCCTGCATTGGCAGGCAGATTCTCAACCACTGCGCCACCAGGGAAGCCCTACTTCTTTTTTTAATGTGGTCACTAAGCAATTTAAAAATGAATACATGGCTCACACTTGTGTCTTTTGCAATATTTTCTACTGAAGAGCGTTATTCTATAGGGATGCATTTTTCATTTTCATTTTTCAGAGAGCTGTAGGCCAAGATTTCCTTCACAGCTGGCTTCCTAATCAGTGCCTTTTCTTATTCCTGCCCTGAGGCTACTACCTCAGACAATTTTCGAGGGGGTTACAACAAAAGGTAAACTGCTTACTTTTGAATTCCTGTGTTACAGCCGCGTGGGTAGAGAGCTGTAGTTTCTGTGAGTAGCCAGTAGAGGGACCTCTTACCACACTTAGGACTGAAAAACTGGGAAATCTGTTTGGAGCATCAATTATTTTAACAGATTGTTAATTGATTAACAGATAAATTGGTTGAACTAAGAAAATTAATTAATTCATATTGAGTGGAAGAATTTCTTTGAAATTTGCAGATGAACCTGCCATTGGGGAACTGATTCCGTAAACTCTTAGAATTACGATTTTTAAAATGATTTGCATTTCCCTTTCAGACCTCTGGATACTGAAGAGTAAAATTCTGAAATTTCCTGATGTAACTCCTTTATTTATAAAGGGGTGACCTGGTGGTCAATATTTAATGTCCTGCCACAGTTAATGTGCTTAATGGCAGTTATTCTTCTGAAGCTAATTGTCCCCGGATTCTGCTGCCCCTTGGAACCTTCTGGTAATGTTTGGGTAATAAATTAATTTGATATTGCTATTACTCAGAGTTCTTGCTTGCAAACAGGAAAAACTGACTTTGTCTAGTTTAAACAAAGGAGAGGGAATTAGGTGAAAAGATATAAGGACGATGACAGAACTGAAGCGAAGCCCAGAGAATTCAGCTCAGGAATTAAGCAGGAACCACAGGAGGCCAGAAACGCCCCGCCACCCCCACCCCCAATCCCCAACCCCCCCCACCCCACCCCACCCCCGTCACCCACCCGGGTGCCATAGCTACACACAGGGCCATTCACTCCACAGCTGGCTGTCTATGGAGTCCGACCTCGCTGCTTTGGGCCACCTGCTTAGGATCCCAAACTCAAACAAGAAAGCCCAAGCTGAGTTTGTAAGTTCACATGCTCTGTCCACCAGGGAGACTGTGCCCCTACCCGCCAGCCACCTCCACGTGGAGGAGCATGGCCCTGCCCCCCTCTTCGGCTTGGACAACCTGCAGGCTGTTGGTTAAATTTTGTCCTCCCAAAATAGATGTGTTCAAGTCCTAACCTTCAGTACCCATGAAGGTGACCTTATTTGGAAATAGGGGCTTTACAAATGTAATCAGATTAAGATGAGGTACACAGGGAAAAAAAAAGTTGTAACTATGTGTGGTGATAAATGTTAACCATACTTATTGTGATGATCATTTCACAATATACACAAATATTAAATCATCATGTTGTGTGCCAGAAACTAGTATAATGTTATATGTCAATAAATCTCAATTTTTTAAAAAATTAAGATGAAGTCTTACTGGATTAGGATGGCCCCTAAATCCAAGATGGCTGGTCTTTATAAGAAAAGCAAAATTGGGGCACAGAGGTTCAGACATGAAGAGAACACGATGTGGGACTTCCCTGGTGGCGCAGTGGTTAAGAATCCACCTGCCAATGCAGGGGACGTCGGTTCGATCCCTGGTCCGGGAAGATCCCACATGCCGCGGAGCAACTAAGCCCATGAGCCACAACTACTGAGCCCGCGTGCCACAGCTACTGAAGCCCACGCACCTGGAGCCCGTGCTCCGCGACAAGAGAAGCCACCGCAATGAGGAGCCCGCGCACCACAAAGAAGAGCAGCCCCTTCTCGCCACAACTAGAGAAAGCCCGCGTGCAGCAATGAAGACTCAATGCAGCCAAAAATAAGTAAATAAATAAATATAAAATAAAAATAAAAAAAGAGAACACGATGTGACAGCAGAGTCAGAGACTGGAGTGATTCGTCTACCAACCAAGGAACGCCAAGGGTTACAGGCAACCACCAGAGACTAAGAGAGACAAGAAAGCACCCTCCCCTGGAGCCTTCAGAGGCAGCAGGCCTCTGCCAACACTTCGACTGGGGACTTCCAGCCTCCAAAATGACGAGAGAATGCATTTCTTCTGCTTGAAGCCACCAAGTCTGGGCTACTTGGTTACAGCAGCACCAGGACACTGAAACACCGGGAGCCCCTTAACGAGAACGAGTAGCTTGGGAGCTGCATCGCCAGAAGCCCCAGACACAACCTCCTGCTTTCTGTGCTCAGACATCTGACAAGGTTTCTTTAAAAGTATTTTGCAACGTCTTCCAATCCATCACAGGAATATTCCAGAAATAACGAACAGCCAGGAAATGTACAGATTTACTACATTTGGATTTATTCACATAAGTAGGAGAATTGATTAGTGAATAAGTTCCTACATAAAATGAATACACTGTAGAGCTAAGTATGCCCCAACCCACCCGTCGCATGTGTATATTTACGTGCAGCAGAGGGAGAGGTGGCAGCTCACAGATACCTAGGCGCTGCTCTCTCCCAGTAACGTGTTCCATCTGAAACGAGCCACTAACCCATGATGTTGGCTGTAACTGTTGAAGAAATTGGACTTTACATGGACGTATCATCCAACCAAGTTCACGTATCCAGTACATGACACCCACTTTTCTCCCCTGTGTTAGGCTAGGAAGAATGTCCACAGCAGAGATGAGCTTATGAACTGATTGCATAATAAGAATCTTCTGTGAAACTACTGTGCACAAACCATGCGGTCGGCACCATCCTGCCCCCACGCCTGGCCCGGCCTCTCCTCTCCCGCTGCAAAGGATCAGCTCAAGAGTTCATGCATCTCAGCAGGCAGCCCGGTCCAGCCCAGAGCAATCTCTTCTCACGCCTGCAGCATCCGCTGCCTGTAACGCTCAGCTCACACTTGTCTCTCGGAACTGTCTACTCCTAATCTCCCCATACTGCAATGGATCATAAACTCTGAGAACAGGGATCGTGCCTTATACAGGGGGTTGCCAGTGAAAGCATCAAAGCAAGTACGAATCAGTGCCTACTTATGAGAACCAACAAGAAGTCCCAGGTTCAAGAACAGAGAACGGCAGATGCTCAAAAGTGGAATAAGTTAATTAATTCAAAGTTGATTCCAGAATCGAGCGTTACTCTGTAAAATGTGAAGCGTTTCTCACTTTGCACCTTACAAGGATCACTGTTGCTCCAAACACGATGAAGGGAAGTGGCGAGCTTGGCAGAAACCTGCCTGCTGTGCTGTGTTTGCCTGCGAGAAAGAGGAAGCATCCAACAGCATCCAGATGTGGCTAAAATGTAGAAGCACAGAGCAGTGGCGAAGCGACATGTCAGGAATGGTGGCAAAAAAATAGAAGCCTGAAAAGAATCATAAAGAAAAATGCCGTGGTGAGAAGATTCCTCCAGTCCACACTGTAGCCCTTTAAGTTAATTTGGGGCCTGCTGGAGCTAACTACCGGTGGAAACCATGGGCATTAAGTGTCAGAATTAACTCTAAGATCTGAGTAAAAGGTATTACAGAGGTAACATCCAATACCTTTGTAAAGTAATGGACTCTTACTGGAGTCCATTAGTAAGTTTTCCTAAAATTTCATATCTGATCACCATCTCCATTACAAAAGATAGTATTATGCTGTCTACCACAAAGCTCCCCTAGAAATTGTAGATTGTTATGAAGTCTATTTTATTTTCCCACAGGAATAATGCTACACTTTGGCATCAAGTGGTTCACGGAGGTGAAGATAAAAAACACCACCACTTATTGAATGTCCACAATGGGCCAGACATTGTAGTTCATTATCTCTTACCTTTGCAGAGACCTTGTAAAGTAGGAATTATTAGTCCAGTTTTAAAGATAAGAAAACTAGGTTTCAGAGCAGTTAAGTGCCTGTCCTTGGGTCTCACCTCAAAATCTCTAATACTTAATGTTATATCACAGTGCCTCAACAACCTGGCATAAAAGCAGAGATACATCTCTAAGCGTCCACAGTAATTTCGAGTAATATAATTATGCTACACTTTGAAGGGTTGGTGCAAAGCAATAAGAGATTTTAGAGATGATCTAGCTCATCCTCGTCACAAACAAGCACACTAAAAACAACAGAAGCTAATAATGACTTTCCTAAGGGAGAGGAAAGTCATTATGCAGAGCTGAGTATAGACCTGGGGTCTTCTGATTAAATCACACCGAGTTTCATCCAAACTCTTCTCTTAACTCTCTAAGAAAGTCCACGAAGCTGTTGAGTGGGAGAGTCAGGATTAGAACCTAGGACGTCAAGACTTCAAGCCCAGAGGGAGCTCTTTCTACCACACGACAATGTGCAGACACTACACAGTAAAATTACAACATCTCTGCGGGCATTTCTCAAACACATTTGCGTCATAATACCCGTTACTTAGACAATCAATGCACAATGCTGGCCTTTTTCATTCGGAAAATTTAGAAGGAGCTTGGAGGGTTAGATGCCTTTCACATAATAGTCAACTCAATTTAGATTTGTTGATTGACATATTGTCCACTTGGATCAATTACATGATACTTTACACTCTGGGGTCTTTGAAGAGAGCCAGCTTCTAAATAAGTTAATGTCTCCATCTCTCTCCAAGGTATATATTTCCCCTGACCTGAATCTACTCCTTAGGGGCTCTTATAATATCCCTTTTCTGGAATTTCTCACTGGCACAATAAAACCACTTTCTTTGGGGGTATTCCTTGCCTTGATAGGGGTATATACTTTCTCTTTTAAGAGGGAACCTGAACTTTTTGCTCCTACAAAGTCCCACCATTTTAAAAACAGGTCCTAAAACAAGAAGAATGAAAGCTGAACTTTCCAGTCTTTTCACATCTTTATTTGTAATTTCCCCTAGCTTGACATCTCTTACTAGAGTGTTTTAACAACCGGTAAATACCTGATCATAACAATATGTGGAAGGTACTTGGCATTAATGCTACGACTTGCTGCTTTCTCCTATAATTTTTATAGACCTAAGTTGTCCAATTGTAAAGTCTATTACAAAATTGCTTTTCAGATTGCTACTAGTTGTCACTCATGTGTTACTGAGTGTCTTTTAAATAACTGTTTGGCCCAGCGCTTTGTTTCACTAGATTGGGTAAGCCTAGGAACCCTCCAAGAGTACCAGGGGTGGAGGATGGAATTTTGCAATAAAAAACACAGCCATTTTGCAACTTCAAAAATGTCATTGGCCAGGAGTTGCCCTTGGGAGTAGTTTGTCTGGCATAGAATAGCTTATTTTCCCAGCATGACCTTAGGATATAATTTGGTAATGAGATCATTTGGCAACCTTGAGCTTTAATACAGTGAAATTAAATAATTGAATTGGCTGTGGTTTTTAACCTATGCTTATTCTTCCAAGGTGGAATTTGGCCAAGATTGTGAATAAACACTTGAGCTTTCAAGACTTCCATTTTGTAATTATAATTTGAATAATGAGAAAGGACAACCCTCCTCAGTGACACAGAGTGTTTTTTTAAATTTTTTTTTTTTTTTTTTTTTTTTTTTTTGCGGTACGCGGGCCTCTCACTGTTGTGGCCTCTCCCGTTGCGGAGCACAGGCTCCGGACGCGCAGGCTCAGCGGCCATGGCTCACGGGCATAGCCGCTCCACGTCACGTGGCATCCTCCCGGACCGGGGCACGAACCCGTGTCCCCGGCATCGGCAGGCAGACTTTCAACCACTGCGCCACCAGGGAAGCCCCACAGAGTGTTTTTTATGAACAAATGTAAATTCTTCCATTGCTTCTAAAGTGCCCTCTCTAGGCACAATTCAGACCCAACCTTTTCTATGATCACAGCAGACATTTCTCACCACTTTTTTTTTTCACTCATAAGGTCTACATTGTATTTAGTATTCATTTTGCCCAGTGAAGACGGCTTTCTGATTGTAACTGCTCTGATTTTCCAACTATATTAGAAGTTTTGCAGAGAAAGGGTCATGTTTGACTTCTCATTTGGATTCATTGAAACATCAGATTCAGGTCTGACTACTTAATAGGAACTCAATCAGTACCAGTTGGTTGAGTGATTGAAAAGTACTATTGGTTCAAACATAGGTACATCACCAATTCTATTGTTTCCTCTTAAAATCCCAGGGTTTACATTTATTTACACATATAAATCAGAATTCCATCCCACATACTTTAATTCCCAAGACCAACACAATTACGAATAGAATGGAAACAGGAGTATTAAATGTCTTATCTAGTTAAAATATTGACCTCAAGTTGCGTTGAAACAACAGCTGCCAATAAGACATTTTTTAGGTTTGGCGATTCTTGGTTTTTCATTTCACCATTGAAATGTATCCTTTTCAAATCTGTTTTTAATTACAGATAAATCACAAGGAAGAAAGTTGCCAGGTTTTTTTTTTTTTTTTTTTTTTTTTTTTTTTTTTTTGGTGTGGCGTCTCTCGTTGTTGAGTACAGGCTCCGGACGCGCAGGCTCAGAGGCCATGGCTCACGGGCCCAGCTGCTCTGCGGCATGTGGGATCCTCCCGGACCGGGGCACGAACCCGTGTCCCCTGCATCGTCAGGCGGACTCCCAACCACTGCGCCACCAGGGAAGCCCCGCTTATTTTGTCTTAGAGTGGTCAGGTTGACCTCTTACTCAGGGGTCCCCAATCCTGCCTCAACACCCCTCTCTACCCAGAGTATTACGCTCATCATTACTCAGAAATTTACCATAGTGCTACTTACTGTTTAGCTAGTAATTAAATCATGACATGTACACAAAACCACAACCAATTTTTTTTTTCTGACACAATGATATCTCTGAAAATGTCTGCAGATGTAAGTCTACACACTTTGAAAAGGAAGATGCAAACAAAGCTTAAGGTCTCAACAGATTTGCTTAAAGTTGATAATAATGAGTTTATAAAGGAGTGAAGAGAGCATTCCACTATTTTCAGAAGAAGAAAAAAAACACTAGTAAACAGACATCATATTTGAGCCTTCTCCTGTAAAACACATAGCTGCTACTCTCATAGTGTATTCGTTTTCTTTCTGCTTAATCTTGTTGTAGAGTTGACTTAATTTAGCAATCAAATGGGACAATGAACAACTAAATTAGGCTGTAATTCTTGGGAAAATCTTGGCTTGGATAGCGATAGGCAAAATTCCTTTGCTAATCTAGACAGTCATTACTTGATGTTGTTAATGTTGTCATTTGGGAAATCGCGCTATCCCATGCTGGGTGTTATTAGAAATGGAACCTAAACTCTCCTAAATCCTTCTCCTAAAACTAGTCCATGAGAAGTACATGGAGGTTGATTTTTGAACTAAAAATGATTCCATCCCCACAATCTCACCCCAGATCTCTGTTGATTTGGTGGTAGCAATCTTGGGAGATTTTCCCTGCTCAAAAGACAACAAGAACAAGTCATTCTGGAGAAGGAGCTCTCAGTGGACAATAAGAGCTTCTATAGCTAAACCAGTTTTGCTGCTAGAATATGTATTGGTCAGCATCTCTCTAAGGAACAAAGAGGTGATTCCTCTTTCTAAACCAAATGCTCTACTCCATACAATTTTGCAAGCCATAGATATTTCATTAAGCCTTTATTTATATGCTTCTGTCTTTAATCACTCCACTTTTTTCTTTTTTTTAGTTGAGATATAGTTGATTTACAGTATTATGTTTCAGATGTACAACATAGTGACTCAAAAATTTTATAGATTATACTCTATTTAAAGTTATTATAAAATATTGACCATATTCCCTGTGCTGTACAATGTATCCTGGTAGTTTATTTATTTTATACATAGTAATTTGTACCTCTTAATCCCCTTCCCCACCTTGCCCCTCCCCCTTCCCTCTTCCCACTAATAACTACTAGTTTGTTCTCTATATCTATGAGTCTGCTTCTGTTTTATTATATTCATTCATTTGTTCTATTTTTTAGATTCCATATATGTGATAAAATACAGTATTTTTCTTTCTCTGTCAGTCACTCCATTTTTCTAATTACCTATTTTAATGAATGTAATACTTATGAAAGTCCTGTAAAACATAAATTAGATAGAGAACCAACAAAAATTTTCGATAGTATTTATAATATGAAATCTTACATATTTCTCTTATGTTAAAATATTAATTTTTCCTATCTCCCTTATAGAGGTGTCTTGTAAAATATTACCGTGGTGGACATACTCTAAGGGACACCCAATGAGTCATACCCTTGTATAATCCCCTCCCCTTGAGTACAGACAGAAACTGTGACTTCCTTCAAACCAACAGAATATGGCAAAGGTGAAGGGATTTTGCAGATGTAATGAAGGTCCTAAGAAGTTGACCTGGAGTTAATCAAAAGGAAGGTTATCCTGGGTGGTTCTGACTTAATCAGGAAAGCCCTTTAAAAGAAGGTCTGACCCTTCCCTAGAGTCAGAGACTTGAAGCAGCCGAGACTCATGTGTGTGTGTGTGTGTGTGTGTGTGTGTGTGTGTGTGTGTTCCTGGATTTGATGAAATGAGCTATCGTGAATTCTGCCAACAACTTCAGGGAGCTTCAAAGTGGTAGATCCTTCCCTAGCTGAGCTTCCAGATGAGAACGCAGCCCAGGTTACATCTTAATTTCAGCCTTGTGAGACCCAAAGCAAACGCCCAGCTAGGACATGCCTGGACTTCTGACCTACAGAAAGTGTGACATAATAAAAATGTGTTGTTTTAAGCTGCTGAGTTTGTGATAATTTGTTACACAGCAATAGAAAACTTACACGATAACATTTAAAATGATTATTTGTGAAGCACTACTAGCATTTCCTTTAAAGTTAGGAAAAAGCCAAGGATGACTACTCTTGACACTTTCAACATTGTATGGGAAAGAGGCAAAGATATGGCTATTTGCAGATGTTGTCATTGTTTACCTAGAAACTCCAAGAGAGTATATTGATAATCTATTAGAAACAACGTGTCTGGCAATTTAACCTACATATAATCCCATGGTTTCCTACTTATAGACCATAACCAGCTAGAAAATATGAGAAGAAAATATACTACTTATGATGACAACAATAGCACAATAAAATACCTTAGAAATAAGCCTAAAAGAAATGTTCAGAAACTATCTGAAGAAAAAAAATGAAACTCTACTAAGAAGCATACAAGAAGACAGAAAAGACATCACATGTTTTTGAAACCTGAAGGAAATTCAATATTTTAAAGATCCCCATCTGCCTTAAACTAATCTATCAATTCAGTTACAAAATCAATAAGCTTTTTAGGTGGACCTTGACAAAATGATACTAAAGTTAACATGGAAAAGTAAATATGAGAAAACCTTAACTATCTAGAAAATTATTGATAGCTAACATTTAGTGGGTGTTAACCATGTTCCAAGCCCAGTTCTGCCATATGCTAGTTTCATTTAATTCCCCCATTAGACAGGTAGTATTCTTTCCACATTTTATAGATGCAAAAATAGCAGCTTAGAGAGATTAAGTAATTGCCTCACACTTGCTGCAGCCAAGATTTGAACCAAGCCTTCTAGCATCAGAGCCTGAGCCCTTGGCTAGTTTTCCATTCTGCTTAGGGTGAACCAGGCAGGCAGCTCCACAAGGTACTGTATTACCAAGCTACTGTCATAAAAACAGTTCTGCTGGCATAAGAATAGGTGGTGAAAAGGACTATTTTTAAAAATCAAGATTTCAGACAAACAAATCCTTGTGAGAAATTGGTATATGATAAAGGTAGCCATTCAAATGAGCAGAGAAAAGAAGAATGTAAATAACATTGGGGGAACTGACCACCCATTTGGAATAAGTAAAAATAAAACAACAAAACCAGACCCTGAGCTTAATTGTTACACCAAAATAAATTCCAGAGAGGTCAAAGATTTAAATGAAGCAATGAAACCTTGAAAGTACGTGAAGAACACACAGGTGTACTGTGGTCTCCAGTAACCTAGTAGTGAGTAAGGTTCTTCTAAACATAGCAAAAAGAAAAAGAATGATAAATGTGACTATATTGAAACTTATATTCTCATACCCAAAACAGGTAATAACTGAAAGAATAAAATGGGAAAATATTTGCAACACATATCACAAAATATAAAATTTCTTAATATACAAAAGACTAATAAATCAGTAAGAGAAAGATTTAAAGATGTGCACTACGGTAGAAAATTGGACAAAGAATTTAAATAGGAGTTCGACGCAAATGTGAAATGCAATTTTTAAAAAATCTCTTGTGGAGAATTTAAAATATACAGAAAAGCAGAGAAATTGGTCCAGTGAACACCCCCTCACACTCTGCACTTATTGACAGCTACAATGGTCAACAGACCATCTCTTGTTTCACTCATAACACACGCACGCACTCTCCCTCCCCGCCCCCGCCAACCTACCCACTGCTACACTGCATTTTTACGAAGCAAGTCATTTCATCTGTAAATAGAGAGTATATCTAAGGCTATAAAATGCTGTTTCCTATTCTATTGGTAAAGATCAATTAATTGGAATTTGAGAGAGGGAGAAAGCTGAAAAAACTATAGCTCCTACTCTGAGAGGGAAAAGGGAGTTTTGAGAAGAGATCAAATATTTTCCACCTTCCTTCAACAAGTAAGACACTATCAGCCAAAATCACTTGAATACTGAATCCAGCACAAGAGCAAAGGAGACGTTCTTGGAGAAAACGTTCAGGAAGGGACTTGGGTTGAGCAGTTTGTACATATGTACATTATCTGTGGTCCAAGGACCCACAGTCTGGGGGATGATGACTTAGCTTGCAAACTTCTAGAGGGCAGGCACCTCACCTTTTCTTCTGAGCTGATGCCTTAGAGGATATTCACCTTAGATAACGCGTGATGAAGAATGGATGCCTCAGTCCACACGCCCATCCTCACGGGGCTGACTGATGTTGATAGGTCGGTTCCCACACCCACCTCTCCAGCCGGGACTCTCTGTAGCTTCATATGAATAAAAGGAACAACAATAAGTGGGAAAGGGCTGGGCCTCCAGGTGACCAGCACATTCAGAAAGGTATGCTGCCTGATATGGAGAACAGGTTTTCTGCCTGAGATCCCCGATGAGTCACTTCCTTCCCATGATCAGCCCAGTCAGTGCTTTGCCTTCCTTACTGCTCTGTCCCAGGGCAGGGAGGGAGCTGGTGACACAACAAGCAGAGACCTGACTCCTGAGTGGACCTGAGCAGGTTGCCCGCTCCTGCTGTGAGGCCTTCAAGGTTATGCATTTCCTTTAAGATGGTCTGAGATGGATTTGGTCCCGGACGGGCTGGGTGTGAGACCCTGTGGAAAGACGAATCCACAGATGCCACCTACCAGCCAAAGCTCGTTCACAAGGAAACTTCATTTTGTTTAACACACCTTGGCTCCTTAAGCACATACTCTGTGTGTATATGTGGGGAGTGAGGGCATAGGGTGGGGGGAGGGGTTATAAAAATGAATAAGATGAGGGCTTCCCTGGTGGCGCAGTGGTTGAGAGTCCGCCTGCCGATGCGGAGGACACGGGTTCGTGCCCTGGTCCGGGAAGATCCCTCATGCCGCGGAGCGGCTGGGCCCGTGAGCCATGGCCGCTGAGCCTGCGCGTCCGGAGCCTGTGCTCCGCAACGGGAGAGGCTGCAACAGTGAGAGAGGCCCGCGTACCGGAAAAAAAAAAATAAAAAATGAATAAGATGAAGTCTTAGGCCTTGGTGACCTTACAGTCTGGAAAGAAGGAACACTATTCAGGCGAGGCTAACAATTTCTGAGTATCTGTTATGCTCCAGGCACCGTATTAGGCACTTAGCCTGCATTATCTCAGGACAATTCAAGGTCCCACAGTGCTGAGTTCAGAGAGGTTCTGAAGGTGTCTTGAGCAAGCGACATTGGAACAGGCACTAGAAGAATAGGTATGATTTTAACAGGTTGAATTGGTGAAAGCAATTGAGGGAAGGAGGATGTATTAATTAAAGTCCAAATTGCAGCTGTGCTTCAGGAATGGGGAATATGCTGTTTGGCTCTGCAGACTCTGTTTTCTAAAAGCTAAGACTGTCGCAGTAGCCTCCTGCTTCACCTTCCTGCCTCCTCTCTCTCCCTGGTCCCTCCTACAAAAACAACTGCGAGATTCATCTTCCTAAAACCAATACAGGTCACCCCCGCTTTTTGAAAATTTGCTTTGTGTCACTTCGCTTTTACAAAAGACCTGAGTTAGTACCTGTTTTTGCTAACTGAAAGAAATCTGAAGAGGATTTTTGCTTTTACGGAAAAATCAGGAAAAAATATAGTTCAGTGTTTGTTTCGCAGTGAGTTACAGAGTTACCACCACGGAGAGTGGCACCGCCAAACTCCTTCCCAGGAACTACACTCAGCATCTCAGCATGGAGCCGCCATCGCTTTGAACTGTATCTGTGAGCCCCTGTGCTTTATCTCGATTTATTCTGTGTGTCTGTTAGCAAGATGTGCCCTAAGGTGATGGTTTCTTTGCTTTACGCCATGTTGGCTTATGAAGCTTTCACAGGAATACTCTGCTTTCGGAGAGCAAGGGAAACTTGTTATCTGACCAAGTCAGGACTCTACTAGCTACTTTCTTCTAAAAGGAACAAAGTTAGGCAGGGAGGGAAGGAGGGACAAAGCGGGGGCGGGGAACTTTTCAATGAATCCTTACTCCCTACAGAACAAAGTCCAGACTCCTTATCTCCAAAGCCTTGAACACCTGGCAGTGCCCACGGGTGCCATTTTAGTTTCCTCTCCGGTCACTCCTTCCCCGCAGCTCCCCTACATTCCAGCCATCCCTCAAACATGTCATATACTTCACCCTTCCATGGCTTTATTCATGCTTTTCCTCTGCCTGAAATGGCCTAGCCTCTGTCAAAATCAGTTTTAAGATTTGAAGATTCAGTTTAACTGATACCTTCCCTGAGAAATTCCTAACCACTCCTTCCAAATTCAGCATTCTCCCTTCTGTGGTACCACGGTGTGTCCTGCCTCTGTTCTAGCACTTGTCACCGTCCATCTTCTGATACTGGACCCCAAGTCAGGTTCCCTGGGTTCAAACTCCAGCTCTGCCACTTAAGAGCTGCATGGATTGGGGAAATTCTCTCTCTCTCAGGCTTGGTTTCCACATCTGTAAAAATGAGATACTTAAGATCTACCTCACAGAATTAGGAAATGAGAAAATATATGTGAAAATACTTTGTAAACCATAGAGAATATAACATTTTTACACTTACATATTTAAACATGTTACACTGGAATGACTCAGTTCTTCCCTGCTAGGTCTTTCTTCCCTGCCTGTCTTTTTTACCTACACATGCCGTACTTCACTTCTGATACTTCTGATCACCAAATACTGGAAGGCTTTTCCTCACACCAAGCAATTCTCTGCGACACCAGGTGGGTGGTTTGCAATTTGATTCAATTCTGACATTATCTACCTGGAGAGAGTGTCAGATCCCACAAGTTAAGGGCTCAGTCCCACAAGACTACCACACACACACACACACACACACACACACAGTCCTCGGATGCCAGTCACAAGACAGGGATGCTACCTGTGCTTCTGACCAACTGACTATAGATCGGAGGTTACGGTGACCCCCTCCTCAGGTTCAATTAATTTGCTAGAGCAGCTCACAGAACTCAGAAAAACATTTTACTTGCTCTTACTGGTTTATTATAAAAGGTTATGATAAAGGATACAGTTGAACATCCAGATAGAAGAGATGCATAGGGCGAGGTATTTGGGAAGGGGCGAGGAGCTTCCGTGCCCTCTCAGAGCCCATCACTCTCCCAGCACCTCTACGTTCACCAACCCAGAAGCTCCCTGAACCTCACACTTAGGGGATTTTTATGGAGGATTCATCACATCACATAGGCATGATCGATCATTAACTCCATTTTCAGCCCTTCTGTCTTCTCAAGAGGATGGAGGTGGGGGGGCTGAGAATTCCAAGTTTCTAATCATGGCTTGGACTTTATGGTGATCAGTCCTCATCCAGGAGCCCACCCAGGGTCACCTCATTAGAACAAAAGACATTTTGATCACCCAGGAAATTCCAAGGGTTCAGGAGCTGTGTGCCAGGAACCAGGGGCAGAGACCAATATATATTTTCTATTTATCTCACATACGTAAAAGGTAAAAAGTTTCTATTCCATTAGAAGGTAAGCTCCCAAAGAACAGGACTTTTAAAGGAAGCATTTTATTTAAAAATAATATTTACAAAAGAGTTGCAAAGATCTAGAGGATTCCCATATATGCTTCACCCAACATCTCCTACTGTTAACAACTTAAATAACCATGGTATACTTATCAAAACTAAGAAATTAGCATCAGTATAATACTGTTAGCTAAAATACAGACTTTATTCAGGTTTTATCAGTTTTTCCACTGTCTTGTTCTGTTCCAGGATCCAGTCCAGAATCCCATATTGCATTTAGTTGTCAGTCTCCTGCAATCTGTGACAAGTTTCTCAGTCTTTCCTTGTTTTTTCATGACTTTGACATTTTTGAAGTGCACTGGTTAGGTATTTTGTAGAAGTTAAAAAAAAAACTCAATTTGTATTTGTATGGTACTTTCGCATGATGAGACTGAGGTTATAGATTTTTTAAAATACTGCAGGTGACACTCTCCTCATTGCATATCAGGGAGCACATGGTATCAACAGGACTTATTACTGTATTGGTGATAAAAGAGGAATTTTTGACTCTTTGCTTCATATCCAGCACCTAAAACAGCCTGGCACATGGTGGTACTCAACTGTGGTACTCAAATGAATTCTCTTTTCACTATTACATGTCTTGCCTTCCACTAAATTGTAAAATCCTAAATGGCAAAGACCACACCTTATTCGTCTTTGTAGGTTCTTAATGCCCAGTAGACTTGTCTTCAGTGGGTGTTCAGTAAACATTTAGGGATTGAATTGAAAGGTAAATTGGAATCTGGTTGTATCTTCAGGCAAAATCAAGCTTGAAAGTCATTAAGGAAGCAGCGACTTATTTTAAGCAGCTCAGTTAAATAGTTTAATATTTATTAAATGTCTATTATGTGCTGATATTCTAAGGGCTGGAGTCCCTATAGTATTTTATCAGTAACTGGAAGGGGACAGGGTGGGTAGGAAGGAGAATTGATAGACACAGGCAGAGAGAGGGCTTTAGCTTTGAGCCTGCATGATGGAGATTTGGTGATATATTATTCTAAGGAGAGATCAGAGAAGGAAGTTTGGGGTTTCAGATAATTAATATGGCTCTTAACGTGTTGAATTTTTCTTGTGGGAAAACCCTATGGTTTTTTGGAACTCTCTGGGAGGTAGCTATAAATGCTGGGCAGAGGACAGGGCAGGCTAGAGATTTAAATTTGAAGCCATTTCTATTCTATTGCTACCTGGAGCCCAGGAAGGGGATAAGATGAGCAGAGCATGAGTAGTGAGAAAGAAGAGCACGTCAGACTCTTGAGGAAATTCTGCCCTTAAGAGTAAGAAGGGGAGAAAGTGAAGAGGTTAGAGGAAGGACATTAGGACACTATCCGGAAGAGATTTCAAGAACTGGGTATTTGACAATACTAAGTAAGAAGCGAGGGAGGGAAGTTCTTTATTTAGGAGACACCAGATGTTTGGAAAGAATTAGGGAATGAGAGGGAAGTAAAACGTTGGAGTGATTAAACATCTATTTCGCTTTCCTTTGAGAAGCTAAACTATGAAAGGAAGAAAAAAAAGAGGACTGTGCCCGCAAACAACAGAATGCTGGAAAAAGGTCTTCTTTTAGTTCTGCCACTAATCCCTGACATCTGTGGTCCCGCATACAGCACTCACCTGCTCAAGCCATTAACCTTCCCTGTAACGTTAACTGGAATAAATAATATCTGATCTAACAGTTTCACAAGACTTGTGTTCAGAAGCCTGCATCCCCACCAGACTGCCATAAGCTCCTTGAGGGCAGCGCCATACATAACTTTTATTGAAATTCTCGGGGCTTCCTAGAGCCATGGCAATAACCATTGAGAAAATGCTTGCGGGAT